TACGCACCCACTCCCCCCCCCCATTTTGGAAAGGGGGATAGCCGAACTGAACTCATCTTTAGGTGAGCTGCCTACGTATTCCTTTCGAAAATCAAGCCATCTCGTAGTTCTGATTGTTGATGCGAGTATGTTTACTCGGCTGTCGCAGACTCCTCGATCACTTTAGTTGCTGAATTGATGTCTTGGTCCGGGTTTTTCTCCTCCGGTTGGGTAGAAGTGATTGGTGCGGAAGCTTGTTGCTTCTCAACCGTTGCTGGTTTTGGATCGTTTTCCGCGGGTGGTGGTGTGTACTTTGCGCGTTTCGGTTTCACGATTGGGACCGCCAATTGCCTTAGCTTATGTTCGGCTAAAAAGAAAGATTGCGATTGTCTCTGGCATCCCAAAATCGCTTCGACTCCTGTAGGGGTCGGAAACTTGATGCCTAAGTGATATGTCGACAAAACCGCCTTCATGGAATTATCCAAGGCGTGCCCATGATCACATTGTAGATGTCAGGGTAATCGACGACTACGAAGTTGACAATTTTCGTCACATCTTTGGCTGCGACCGGTAGTCGGATTGATCCTAGGGTCATGGTTGTTTACCGGAGAAACTAGTCAACCGCTTCGGTATCGGCTCCACCTCCGGTAAATCGATTCCCATGCGTACCAGTGTGTTTCGGAAGATCACGTTGACGGTGCTTCCAGCATCGACCAGGATTCGAGCAACTTCTAGGTATCTTATCACTAAGTCAATGACGAGGGGATCGGCATGTGGTTGATCGATTTCGTCAGTTTCTGCGTCGTTGAAAGAGATCACCCCCTTTGGAGTGTTATCCGATGGTATCTTCCAACTCGAGCCGGTTTCGGCTTTTCGTTGGTAAGATATGATAGACAAGATGGTGTGGCTGAAATATTGCGATTCGCCGATGATCATATTGATTTTTTGGTGGTTAGTGTCATTACCTTTCTCATCTTGTCTTCGTCCACGTTTTTCGCCCGACTGGTTCCCTTGAGGCAGAGTTTCCTCTCGCGAGTTCCTGTCGCTTTTCGGAGGGTGATCTAAATCGCGGATGAGATCCTTCACGCTGGATATCTCGAAGAGTTCTCCTGCGATCAATTTTGCGGCGAGTCTGGCGCCGAGAACTTTGCAGTTCACGGTAGAGTTGCCACGGGTTTGGTGGAGATAGCAAAAGGAATTCTCGTCGTAGTTCGGATTCCTTGACCACGTGTTCCCGTAGTTCGCCCTTGTTCCGATCCAGAGTTTATGGTGTAGTTATGCGTTCCTTGGAGATCCTTCCCCTCGTGATGGACGAATTTGTCGTTACGAGAGTTTTTCTTTTTCAGCTTTTCCTCAGACATGATATCCTTTGTGGATGCTTTCGCCGGCTTATGCTTTTCAGACAGGATTTTAGTCTCCTCCTCGATGGTTATGTAATCGGTAGCTTTGTGGAGCGCGTCCTGGATCGTCCACGATTTTTCGAGAGTTATCCATTTTCGAAACTTATACTTGAACCAGAGCGAATTTTTAAGCGCGTCGATGGCGGCTTTGTCGCTTATCTCGCTAACCCTAGCCATGACGAGTTTGAATCTGCTCATGAAGTCGCGAAGGGATTCGTCTTCCTTCTGCGACAAGTTCCAGAGATCAGCGTCGGAGGTTTCCCGATTTATAAACATCGAGTACTGCTTCAGGAATTCGGAAGCGAGCTGGCATAAACTCCCGATTGAATTTCGCCTAAGGTTTTCAACGAAAAGACAGCAGTAACCTCCGTCTTTTTCGTGATTCTTGAGCTTGGCTCTTCCCATGGTAATCTGGAAGGCCGCATGTGCGCTTTGGGATCAGCCGTCCCGTCATAGGTTGGCACCTTGAGTTTCCCTGGATCGGGTAGTTTGACCTCAGTGATGCGAGCCATAAAAGGCGTTTCCCAAGATTAGTATAGTAGCCGATCGATTTCGGGTGCGGCGTTGGTAGCATGGTGAATCTGAGATTTCACTGCTTTTACCGCTGCGGCCGTTTTAGTGATGTAGTCGCGGAGATCGCGGATCTCAGTTAGGTCACCAACAAATTTCTTACCTCGTCGGCGTTTGCTGTGAGTAACTGGAGATCGTTCCTCGGCTGTTTTTGCGTGTCGCGCAAAATAGAACTCCTCCTCATCTCCAGTAAGAGAACTCTCGGGAGAAGACTCCGGTAGAGGGCTGCGAGTTTTCCTCTTCCTAGGCTGGACTTCCGTGTCCTCATCTGACGAGTCGGCTTGTCGCTTGTTGCCAGGTTAACCCTTTTGATGCCGTCTTCCTCTGTTTCCTGTTTGCGAGTAGGAGATTTGTCCGATTCGTTTAGCGTTGCGTCAGGGTTATCTTTTTTGGAGTCTTTCTCCGGTAAGTTACCCTGCTGGGTTCTGGGACGATCCATAGAAGTCGCGAGATCGAGTCTCCTTCCGCGGATCTTAGTAGTTCCGCGGGGGCGAATTGCTCTGGTTTTCGCTGTTAGGGTTTTGACCTGTTTTGCGAGTGAACCAATGAGCTTTTCCTGCTCTTCCTATTACTTGTTAAAGTCGGAGAGCATCTTTTCGATGGTCTCGGCGTTAGCGTTTGTAGCGTTGGCCGCAGACACATCTTGCAGTGGTGTATTGTCAACGTTGTCGCTTTCGCGAGTTTTTTGGTCACCAGTCATCGTTCCTTGATTGAGCGTGCTACGGATTGAGTGTAAGATAGATCCGACCCCCCCCCCCTCCTTCTAGCGCCATACTGTGGGAACCGAAATTCACCTACTGTCAAGATTACGTAAATAAGGGAATTTAGAGTAAACTCTAATTTCCCCGAGGACCCGGCAATCTGCGGAACCGCACAAGAACAATCAAGACAACGATAAATATGAAATAAGGATGTAAATAACGAGATTCAGAACGAAAAGAGTCTTATTCCGAATATGCGTAAGAACAGTACAACCATAGTAGGCCTTAGCCACATGAGCCGTCGGCGAGATCCCTAACTCTAGCAGTCTAAAACTAAAACCCTAGTTGAGACGCAGCTCGATAACAAAACCGGAAAAAACCCTAAGTGCTAAGTTTCTGGTGGTGAAAGCTCTGAGAACTCGTTTTTTACTTCTGTCCTCTGCCTCTTGCTTATATACTCCCTTCCTAGGCGGTTTAGTCATTCCCTTTTGCCCAGATTCGAGTTTATCGAGAATCTTTCATTTATTTTTATCTTTCTTTTTTTCCTGTGGAAATCTTCTATTTATCCTCAAACTTGACCTTGATCTTCAAATTTTACATTTATCTTCTTTCTGCGAGTAAATCGTTAAAACTTCGTCGTATCTTTGGGCTAGACTTTGTTAAAGTCGCGAGATAGGCTTTTATAGCGTTTTAGAACTTTTCGAGCTATTTTGCGATAAAACCATTTTACGACTTTATACGAGATCGTTTCCTGATGCGATGCCGTTTTTAAATAAGTTTCTCGAGTTAATCGCAAAGTTTGGCAATGTTCGATGTTTTGGTTAATCGTTGCCGTTTTCTACGATTTACTCGAGGTTTTATTAAAAACGCGTTTTTACGATTCTTCATGAAAAATATCGAGTAAATCGTATAGTTAGGCAATGTTCGGCGTTTCGTTTAACCGTTGCCGTTTTATACGATTTCTTTGAGTTCTTTCGAAAAAACAAGACTTTACGGTTTTTATCGTAAAACTTGAACGATAGGACGGATTGAGATTAAACGAGAGACGTTTCAATTGTGGTTCAGAACACGATCGAACCAAACGAGTTATGCCTTGAGTCGAGAACGTGGGAGGTCAAGGTTCGGGACAGTCAGCTCGACGTACAGCGAGCCGAACCAGGTTGGTACAGCTCGCTGTACGGCGAGTTGGCTCCATGCCACATTCGTTCCCTTGGTTCTATGTGGATATAGAAACTGTTTTGCAGTTTTATATGGGATAAAAGTGTGGTGGATTTGAAGTTATTGACCAAATAGAACGCAAAATTATTTTGAAGAAAATTGGTCAATAATCATTACGTTGGCTTCGATTAATATGTGTGTAAGAGATGCGTTTTCATTTGGCGGTGGGAGAAATGTGATTCTCTGATCTGGTCCCTACTTGATTGATTCGGTAACCTAAACTTTCTCCAGCCAAGAAGATACAAATAAGGAAGAGAACTACACTAAACTAATTCATTAAAAAAAATATTTATGCAACACTCGTCTTTTAACTGAAAACAAGTCGTGGAATAATAACTAAAGTTAATACATTTGGAAACTTCGATATTTTACATGCTTTCTAGAATCTTATGGTATTTAAAATTCAACATAGTAGAACCTCTATAAATTCAACATAGTAAACAAATTATATGTATAATAGTAGCTCATGGCTTTTGGTTTTTAGGTTTTAGCTAGTAAACCATCCTGCTTTTTCATACAGAACCATTTTCTGAGTAATTGAGCATTATTGTATCAAGATTGCATTCGTCGAGCCAACAAATTTGCCAAATGTAAGAGTTGATGTACATTCAGATTGACTAAATTTTCTCTTATTTTCTTAACCAAATAGAATCTATTCTTGAAAGACGTGAAATTTTGTGTTGTGTGGTTGAAGTTTTCTTAGAGAAGGAGAATATGCATGATATCATCTACCTGAATACCTTCTAGTAAAAGAAAGACATATTCAGGAAACATAGTAAAGAGAGAAAACTAAATAAAAAGTCATCCAAAAATTGGGAGGCCTACTCTCAACTACCAAAAAAGAATACATTAGTGTTTGTTGTGTTAGGTCATTTATTCAGTCACCTAACCCTAACTATATGAAATACGTTAAAAGTGAAATATTTAGAAAAAAGAAAGACATAAATTTAGTCAATATAACTCTTTCTTTAATAAATAAAAACGAAATCTTGCAATCAAGACCGTCCATGTATTCTTTCTTTCACATTATTCTCACGTTATGAGCTTGCGGGTCCCATGATAATCTTCATTAATTTCCCCATATATATCTCATGAGTCATGAATCAAGTCGACTTCATAACATTCATCACTTGTTAAACCCCAAAAAAAAAGTTCCATTTTTTCAACAAACCTCATAAAGTTTGCTGTTTCCTCTGTTTGGATAGAAATATGGTTTGTGTTATTTGCTTTTCATATCATGTTCTTGTTTGGTTTCACAACGTCTTAACTTAAAGATCTTTTCATATTCACCATTCTTTATATTTTTTACTTCAGGTTGCGGAAAACAACAAGAAGGAAGTGACACTCTCTGCTTCAATGGAGAACAACATCAACATGAAAGGAGCAAACATTCATCTCGAGGTTCTTCAAAAGGAACCAGCTGCTTTGGTCAAACCCGAATCCGAGACACCAAAGGGTCTTTACTTCTTGTCAAATCTTGATCAGAACATCGCCGTGATCGTCCGTACAATATACTGTTTCAAATCCGAGGAGAAAGGGAACGAGGAAGCAGTACAAGTAATCAAGAAAGCTCTGAGTCAGGTTCTTGTTCATTACTATCCTCTTGCGGGACGTCTCACCATAAGCCCTGAAGGTACTTTTTTGCAAAACAAAATTAATGACCACTCCAGTCTCGGTCTCTATAACTCTGACAAAAACATTAATTAATTAATATGTCTTTAATTGTGTGAACCTCAGGTAAACTCACTGTGGACTGTACTGAAGAAGGAGTTGTGTTTGTGGAAGCGGAAGCAAACTGTAAAATGGATGAGATTGGTGACATCACAAAACCAGACCCGGAAACATTAGGGAAACTTGTCTATGATGTTGTAAACGCCAAGAATATTCTTGAAGTCCCTCCTGTTACTGCTCAGGTATACTACTTTTCTTCCTCCTCAAGCAATCTTTGTGTTGTTATTTAGGGTTTTAAGATGGGATCTAATTTGTTAAGGTATTTTCATATAGGTGACTAAATTCAGATGTGGAGGGTTTGTTCTTGGACTCTGCATGAATCATTGTATGTTCGATGGTATTGGAGCTATGGAGTTTGTTAACTCATGGGGTCAAGTCGCTAGAGGCTTACCATTAGCAACTCCTCCTTTTTCGGACAGAACCATTCTCAGTGCAAGAAACCCTCCAAAAATCGAGAATCTCCACCAAGAATTTGAAGAGATCGAAGATAATTCTAACATCAACTCTCTTTACAGCAAAGAGCCAACTCTCCATAGATCCTTCTGCTTTGACCCAGAGAAAATCAAGAAACTTAAACTCCAAGCAACAGAGAACAGTGAATCTCTCCTCGGTAACTCATGCTCAACGTTTGAAGCTTTATCTGCTTTTGTGTGGAGGGCAAGAACCAAGTCACTGAATATGTTAAGTGATCAGAAAACGAAGCTTCTTTTCGCCGTTGATGGTAGAGCCAAGTTTGAGCCTCAATTGCCAAAAGGGTACTTTGGGAATGGAATAGTTCTCACAAACTCAATCTGTGAAGCTGGAGAGCTAACCGAGAAACCGTTGAGTTTCGCCGTTGGATTAGTAAGAGAAGCCATTAAGATGGTAACTGATGGATACATGAGATCTGCCATTGATTACTTTGAGGTAACAAGATCAAGACCTTCTCTTTCTTCGACTCTTCTGATCACTACATGGTCTAGACTGGGATTTCATACCACAGATTTTGGCTGGGGAGAACCGGTTTTGTCCGGTCCAGTAGCTTTGCCTGAGAAAGAAGTGACTCTGTTTTTGTCACATGGAGAGCAGAGGAGAAGTATCAATGTGCTTCTTGGACTTCCTGCTTCAGCTATGGATGTGTTTCAAGCACAATTTTCACAAATATGATTTGAACAACAAGAAAAAAAAATAAAAAATTTGGCAATTATTGTCAAAAACTATTCGTGTACTCTGCTTTTCTTTTGTGTTTTTTTTTGTTTCTGCTGAATTATTATTATTATCATCTTAAACTTGTCTGTATCCTGCATCAACTTTCAACCATAAATTTATCTTGTAATATTTTATATTATTACTTGATTTGGTTATGGAATTTTGAGTTTATAGACAATATTTTATATTTATATATATATAAGCTGTTTGAACAGAGTCCAAATATACAGAACAGATGAGACAAGAAGAAAACTGATTTGAATTAACAAGTGACAGAAAATTGCAATTTATTTTCTATTGCTTGCCACACAAGTCAATATTCTTCTTAAACGGTCTAAAATTCAAGGCGGTAAATCGGTAGACACAGAGGTTAGACCTCTTGGACTTAACCTGATCGGTTGTAGTTTTGTAGCCTGGAACGTTGCAGGAATCCGAGGAGCTACCGATCAAGCTTGCTTGACAAGAAGCCATTAGAGAATCTTTGTCTGCTTCTGTGGCGCAAGAAACACCTTCAACAGAAGTTATACTTAGCTTGTAGAGTCCACGCTCGTTTGTGGTTCGATTTGCAGAGAATGTTATCATCTCTCTAGTTCTCGAGGAAGCTGCCTTAAATCTGCAGATTATTCTCACTTCCACATCTGCTTTTTTGCTCAGATAAAACAAAAGTAAGAGACATTTGAACTTGGATCTAAAAAACAATTTTGAGAAATTTGATTGGATTATTTACCGGGCATGAAGTAGCTGTGTTTGGAGAAACTGTTGTTAGAACAGATGTCGCAATAAACAAGACCCATTACCGTGATATTTGCAGTTGGTTTGGATGATGACTGTCCCAGAGACAGAGAGTTTAAGGACAAAAGTTGGAGAAGCAACATTAGCATTATCAGTTTCTTTTCCATGTCCACAAGCTTCAAAAGAAATTTCATCTTTGGATAAACACTTGTTTACAGATGAGGTTCTTTTGTGTGGTTGATGGAAGAAATAGACAAAGATTGGATAAGAGGTAAAAGACAAAATATCAGACAAGAAAAGACAGGAACTCCATTGAAACAAAGCTTCAATTCTGTCTTCTTTTTATGTACAGAAAACCAAGTGTCCTGTGAACTGATAGATGGGAAAGGAGAGAAGCTTATAAATTATTGATAGAGAGAGGAAGTAAAAAAAATTACATAGAGAAACTGAGAGTTGGTTGTGTGTTTGACATTTATTGAGCTCCCAAACTTTCTGTTTTAAGGGTTTTTTGTCGACGAAGCCCTCCAAGAAATTGGCTGAATTTGGAAAAGAGATTGGAGAAGGTAAGCCATGGACCACTTATCAATTTATCATCATTAACACCAAGAGAGTGGTCAGAAGAAATGTCTATTTAGATATCAATCAATATATGAAGCCAAAACTATGATATATTCCCGGTTAAGTCTTGGTTTTGGCTGCATTCTGGTAGAGGATTTTAGGTTTAGGGTACTTTTCAAAAATAAATAGAATCATACTAGATCATCTCTATTTATCAGAAAAAGTATTTTATCTCAGAAACAAAAAAAAGAAGAAGAAGAAAAATATATTCCTGATCTGTTCTTCAATGGCTTCAAGCAAAGTCTAATTAGAGTCTATATTTATTGGAGTTGGAGACTTTTGTTCTTCATATTAAAGATTCACACAAGGAGTTTGGTTTAGTCTCTCAGATAACCTTAGCAACAATTCAAATCAATTCAATTCGAATCAAATGCTCCAGTACTCTTGTCCAAAAAAATTTATGTAATATTCCTGTCTAAAATTTGAATTAAATAAAGAGAAATTACTTGGAATGACCCAAATTAATCACAAAATAACTAGAATGACTCATAAAATTTTAAATACTAGACCCCATTTTGTAACAAGCAATGGGACTAAATCACCCTGTTCGAATTGCAATAAAAAAAAAAATTGATTAAAAATTGATTAAAAATTAAACAATCACCTTTTGTCTATCTCTCTCACAACGACAAAGAGTTCCATCAGGGGGGGGGGGAATTCCGACAAATTGAGTCTCGAGAAAGAGACTCTCACCGACGACCACCATCTTCTCCGTCAGTCCACCTCGTCGGAGTCGTCTTCGCCACCATCTCCTCCGTCGCATCTCCACCATCGCATGTCCTCCGTCGCATCTCCTTCATCGCCTCCTTTCCAAGACGTGTTGATTTCGAAAAATCAAACATGTAAGTGCCAAATCTATATATTTTCAAGTTGTTTCTACAAGATTATTGCTTAATTTCATGTTTGATTTCGAAATCCCTAAATCTCAAATTTTGAAAACCCTAAATCCCAAATTTTGAAAACCCTAAATCCCAATTTTCAAGTTGTTTCTACACGTTTCTAACTTAATTATTGCTTGATTGATTGTTTGATTTCCAAAACCCTAATTCCCAATTTTCGAAATCCCTAAATCCCAAATTTTAAAAATCCTAAATGTTATTGATTTTCAATTTTGTAGACTCTAATTCCTAAATCCTTCAGTACCGGATCACGTTGAACAAGAGTTTAAGTTATTAATTTTTTTGTTTTTGTTATGCGATTAGTATTTTTTCAGTTTCTAAACCATATAAATAACATGTTAAGTGTTTTATGTTTAAGGTATGGCATCTTCTTCTGGTATGAGGAAGTATCCTCCGCGTCTCTATGATGTTGGAAAAACCCCAATTCAGAGTAGAAGCATGAACCATAGTTGTTTTCTGGCCAATCTTCAAGAGTTTAAAGAAGCTGTTGGGGAAGATGTTTGGGCTGAGTTGAGGGAATCAGCTGTTGGAGTTATCGTTAAGCTGAAGGAGATGGAATATATTTGGTCTGCTAAAGCTGTTCATTATTTCCTTGCTAATCAACTCGCCATCAAAAGCATGTATGAGATTTGGTCGTTGTTAGATTGTATGCCACTACGGTTCTCCTTGTATGAGTTTGAGGAGATTACGAGTCTAAACTGTGATCTTTTCAACTAGCGTGACGTGTGGGATGTGGATCATCAAGAGTTTTGGCTGTAGATGGAAGTTCCAACATCTGAAGGACCTACATTGAAAGAGTTACAAGCTGTATTGGTGAAGTGCAGAAACTGGTCTCGAGAGAAGCGAATGATGGTCGGTTTGTTGGGATTGCTACATATTGGGATATTTGGAATTGAGAGCAACAGCAGAATCCCTTTGCATTGTGCTAAAAGAGTGATGGACACTGCAGCTTTTCCGCGTTATCCATGGGGTCGGATTGGATTTAGCCGGCTTCTTCAGTCCATTAAGATGGTCTCATTTCAACCAGGGAAGAGTTACACTGTCCATGGCTGTGTTCATGTCCTTTTAGTATGGATTTATGAATTCGTACCTGGTGTAGGAGAAAACTATGGCAATCGGATAGAGGGAGTTGATGTTCCTCTTCTGTCATGGGGGGGATCTCGTACCCATATAAATTTCCAAACTTTCTGTGATCAGGAAAAATACAGCATCAGAAGGTACATATCATCTCTTATGTCTTCTTTCTTTCTTCACTGTTAAGAGAGATTTGAGATTTGGAAATATTGTTTTGAATTTTAAAGACAGTATCTGGACCAAATTTAGTAATGTGAGCTTGTTTTGTATATTTTTTTACAGGTTCGTGTGAGGCATATGGTTATGAAGCCAATGGAAGACAGATATCCAAAATGGCCGAATGATAAAATGGATAATGAGCGGGAGAACCTGATAAAAGATATCATCAATGGTCAGCTAGATGAGCAGTTTTGGGATGTAACTCCAACTACCAANGCTTGTTTTGTATATTTTTTTACAGGTTCGTGTGAGGCATATGGTTATGAAGCCAATGGAAGACAGATATCCAAAATGGCCGAATGATAAAATGGATAATGAGCGGGAGAACCTGATAAAAGATATCATCAATGGTCAGCTAGATGAGCAGTTTTGGGATGTAACTCCAACTACCAACTCGCCAAAGAAGAGAAAAATTGGTGTTGCAGCATCTGTTATTCCAATGATTTGCTAACTGATTTTAAGCAATGGTTTATCTTTTTGCAGCACATGGCCGCAGCTCTTCTCATGTACCACCGACGTTCCATGCTTTCCACATCTCCATATGCCTCCTCTCGAATAGCATTTTTAGATCGGTGGTTCGTGAACTCATGGGTTAATGACTACAACAAAATGGTCACGGAGGGGAAGCCAATCGAGTTGTCAGATATGTACAGCAAGGCGTTCAATGGAGAATACCCGGAGCAGTTTGTGACAGGTAGAAAGTGGCTTAATGACGTTGACAGTTTATTCACCTGCCACCTTGTTAATGGAAACCATTGGCTAGGCTTACATATTGATTTTCCGAAGTTGACGGTCCATGTGTATGATAGCATTCCGAGTGTGGTGCCAGAGGAACGCTCTCTGCGTGATGAGTGCAGAGCATTCATGAAAATGATTCCGCTTGTGCTTAACAAGATGGTGCCAGTTAAAATCAGAAAGAAGACTGAGAAGAAGTTCACCCTACGTAGACACAAGTGCCCACCAAACGATGACCCGGGAGATTGTGGTGTGTACTCTTTGAAGTACATAGAGTGTGTGGCTCTTGGAAGGACATGGGATTGCTTATCTGATCAGATCATTCCGGCTCTAAGATTGAAGTTGGCAGCCGACATCTTTGAAGAGGCGAGAGAGGTTTTTACTGAAGGCTGAAATGTGTTAGGATGATTTAGTTTTAGTTGTTGTCGGCTAGTACTTGGATGGATGATAACTTGGCTGAAAAATGGATGTTTTAGTTGGCAGGTTTTTGCTTTTGGTTTTTCTCGGCTAGTACATGTTTCTGGATGATAACTTGGCTCGATTTTTATTGTTTCTGTATGGTAACTTGGCAGTTTTTGTTATCTGATGTATAACTTGTGACTGATGCTTTATGAGAAGAATATGCTCGATTTTAGTGTTTTTTGGCAGATTATTGTCTTCTGATTTTAATGATTATTGGCAGGTTATTGTTCACATTGATTTTTGAGATTATTGTCTTCTGGTTTTTATGGTTTCTGTTTATAAACACTAAAGAGCCAAGCAAAACAAATCCAATTTAACTCCAAAGACCAAAGCAAAAACATATTCAATGTAAACAATAAAGAACAAAGCAATAACAAATTCAATGTAAACACCAAAGAACAAAGCAAAAATAAATTCATCACTTCAGAGGGCATGTTTCAAAATTATGCCCCGTCTGGTTACAAATTCTACATGTGTGGTCCTTACGTAGTTGCTTCTTCTCGGCCACTTTCTCCAAAATAGATTTATGTCTAGATTTCTTCGGTCTTCCAGGTGGTTGACGGACATCAGGTGGTAAACAGACCTTATTTGCAACTTTTTGTGGAATTGGAACAACATCATCTTTGGGCATAACAGCACTTAAATAGGCGTTATGGAGGTACTGCTTCCGATAGTAATGGTGACAAAGTGATATACATGATATCTTTCTTTTTTCCGCAGCAGCTATAGCATGAGCACATGGTAGCTTCTCCAAATCAAATCTACGGCAAGTGCATGTCTTCTCGGTCAGATTAACAACATGTAAAGATGAGACTCCATCACTTGTGACTGATGGATGTCAATTGCTTGAACTTTTAACAGATTAGCAATAGGTATACGGCCCTGCAAATGGTAAATTTTAGCAATAGGTACACCAAAAACTGATTAGTATGAGTAAACAAGATTGATTCTAAATCTGTTACCTCCAACAACTTCTCTACACCACGAGTAAGAGAGTTTTTCATCAACTCAGGATCATGTTTTCTTGTTGCAAACCAACGTGTCATCATTAGTCGAATTGCCTATAGAAGGCGAACAATTGGCAAGCTTCTCACATCCGACAAAGCTCTGTTTATGGATTCAGCTATGTTACTTGTAAGTATGTTGAACCGATTATCTCTAAAATGAGCTCTTGCCCACTTACATACATCAGCACGTTCCAAATATCCATGTAAAGCCGGATTTAACACTTTGACCGTCTCGAAGATTGCTTGAAAGTCTGTTACCCTAAAAGAGTATGCGGCTTTTTTAACTAACCCAAACAGATCACGCCCTCTATACCGTAACAAGATGTTCTTATATAAGTGGTAAATGCAAATTTCCCTGCTAGCCAATGGATAGACCACTAAAATAGTCTTCCCAATTGATTTGTGTCTATCAGAAATCAAAGCCAAAACTTCATCATCAGGTATCACACAGCTGAGTTGCCGGAAAAACTATGTCCATGATTCATCAATCTCTGTGTCAACAACCGCAAATGCAACTGGAAAAATTTGGAAATTATCATCCTGTGACGTAGCAACGAGAAGCGTTCCTTT